AAAAAAAAAAAAAAAGGCATCAGTTTAAAAAAAAGGGGGAATGTACTGTTAAATGGGGATCTTCCTGGTCTACTCTCATTAGGACAAGTAACAAGCTAAAAATGAAGTCTCGTGAATCCTCCCATCCCCGCTTGCCCACAAAACAGTGGGTGGTTTCTGGTACTTAAAGCACTAATGTTATGTTGCTGCTCTACAAACAGCCCATTAGTTCCATTTCCTTCCACACCAAAAAGTGTTAAATCAAGTATGCAAATGGAGTCCTTACAACTGGAGTTTATGTTGTCTTGCCCTTTTTTTAGCACAAAAAAAATTGTACTTTTTTATTGTCGAATTGTTTAAAAGACTTCATTCTTTACTTGTTCTTACAAAAAGGATATAAGGGAGAAGAATGCAGTAATTGCTGTACATGTATCATCATTCCAGTTTCTAAAAACAGCCAGCCAGCTTTTTTCCTTTTAAGATTCTCCAGAAGGCTGCAAGGCCAGAACCACAAATATCGGGTGCCTTCCTTTGGAAATATTTGACCTCTCTTCTGTGAAGAGAATGGTACTTAACAGACTACTACTAGTGCTTTGTCAGTACCGAAGTCTGAATGCCCAGTCCAATGGCATACATTATCCTTAAGGTTTTTAATCCCACCTGGAAATATTGTGATAGAATTCTCACAAAATAAACCCAGGGCATTACATGTTGACAAACTAATGTGTAGTGGTCTTTTGCTTTTATTTTTAATCCAATAACTTTTGTGTGACTTTAATTAAAATCATTCAATAAAAGGGGGGATGGGAATGGGGAGTGGTAACTTTTTATCTTTAAATTCATTTTTTCCACAATTATTTATTGAATGCCTACTGTGCCAGGGACTGTTTTAGGTAGTATAGCAGTGGAAAACATCCCTCCCATCATAGAGCTTAATAATCCTATTAAGGGAGAAAAACTAAATAAACAAATAAATTATAAAATATATTTAAGTATTAAGGAGAAAAGTAAAGTGAGGAAGAGGGAAAAGCAGTGCCAGGTTGATGTGGAGGTGGCAATTTTAAGTAGGATGGTCAAGGAATGCCTCATAGAGGTGGTGATATTTGATCAAAGACTCAAAATTGGGAAACCATTCTAGGCAGAAAAAAGTACAGAGATCCTGAGGTATGTTAAAGGAGCAGCAGTGTGGCTGGAGCAGAGTGAAAGAGGGAAGGTGCAGTAGGAGATAGGTCAAGACAGCAATGGGGAGCCAGATCGTGGAGGGCTGTAGGCGATTTTAAGGATTTTGGCTTTTACTCAAGACAGGAATTTTGGGCAGAGGAGTGATGTGATCTAAACAAGATCACTCTGGCTTTTGTGTTGAGAATAGCATGGAGGGGAAGCCAAATTAGGAAACTAATTGCAGTAATCCAAGTGAGAGATGAGAGTAGTGGCGAGGCTGGTAGGAGTGGTTAGGTTCTGTTTATATTTTAAAGGTTGATCTGGTAGAATTTGCTCACTGAATGGGTGTAGGGTACACGAGAAAGATAAGATTTAAGGATGACTCTAAGGTATTTGGCCTGAGCAACTGGCCAAAGTTGGAGAACCCTGTGGGAGGAGTGGACCTGGGGGAGATCAGAAGCTCAAGTTTGGATTGTTTACTTGAGACATCAGTCAGACATCCACACACAGATGTCAGGTCGACAGTGGCATATAGAAGCCTGTAGTTTGGAGGAGAGATCATCTTCATAGATGAAGTTTAAGGCCATGAATCTGGACAGGGTCACCACGAGAGTGGGATTAATCTCAGTGTGATGCAGTGTAGTCAGTGACTGGATGTTTGAGTTATTGTTACCTTTAAGAATTCCCTGTCTCAAAAGGATAGGCTCCCAATTTGGATAACTACTTTTGTTTCTTCTGTACTACGTTCTTTATCCTGTTCTACAGTATATTTTTTAAGATAAAAACCCACCTTTCAGTTGTAGTGGCTGATCAGTGTGACTAAAAATAGCTGGATTAAATGTAAGAAAGAATAGTTAGGATTAGGATTAAAATTTCTAGAATAAACCCAGTGGGTAGAATGAGGCCTGGGTCCCCAAAGTCATTCTAGTATACCTCGGGTCCACAGACAAATTTATAAATGGATTGCGGGATAAGAAAATGAGTCTTGATAGAGCATACCCAATCATGAATTTGAAATGAGCCTTGCACTGGGGCTGAGAAGTGGCGGAAGACAGGTAATGATTAACATCCATGTAACATTTATTCTCCTGTTTGACTACACCCACTCTGAGATGTAGAGAAAATACAAACTAGTTTCATGCACATTTTAAAATAAGGAAATTTACTCAAAACTGAGTTTTCAGCCCCTAAATTTGCTGTGTTTATGTCCTCTGCTGCCAGTGTAGTAGACTAAAGTGAAGAACTTAATACAAACGAGAAATTTAAACACTAAGACCTTAGGGAAAGTGGAAAATAGGTCCTTTGGGAACTTTGACATCTAGTCTTAATAACTACCACTTATTGAGTATTTGGAATGTAACATACCTTACACATAGTAATTATTTAATCCTCACAATGACCTTTTAAATAGATACTAGAATTACCACCATTTTATAGATGAGGTTAGGCAATTCATTAAAGGTCATACAGTGATTAAGTAGCAGTCCAGTATTTGAAGTCATCTGCCAGACTCCAAAGCTGTTATTTTTTGCTTCCAACTACTTAGTCAATAGGCCTGGAAACAGATTTTGAACATAGCTTCCTTAGTAACCTTTATTCCTTTTGTATTCTTAAAGAATTAGATACTGTTAATTCTGTTGCTCTGGTATTCTACTTTTATCCACAAAGTCCAGAAACCTCCCAAACTGTATGGCTTTTTACCCATATAAATTTCATATTTCCAAAAGGACTATGGGAGCAGTATTTTCTGAATTCCAAATTTAGGGCTTTTTCCATGAATATTATGTATAATATGCTACAGTATTAAAATACATGTTACAGACAGGTAAATAAGGCTCCAGACTCTCCACTAAAACTTAGTAGAGCAGATCTACTTTTATCTATTTTATATAGTGATTTCTGTTTAAGTATTCTTTCAGCAAATAGGTTCTACTATTAAAAAAAAGTTTGAGAACCACAGCAAGAGAGGAATGAATAGATAGATGAATAGCACATTAGTTCAACAAATACTAACCATACTAGGCACTATTGTAGATGTTGGAAACACAGCAGTATTCAAAGTCCCTGCATTCATGTAGCTTACATTCTAGTAGAGCGTGCATTGAATGATAAGCTAGGCAAAAGTAAATAAACATGATGTTAGAGCTAATATTGTTGTTAGGTGCCATCTAGTCGATTCTGACTCATAGCGACCCTGTAAGGCAGAGTAGAACTGCCCCATACAGTTCCCAAGGAGTGGCTGGTGGATTTGAACTGCCAACCTTTTGGTTAGCAGCTGAGCTCTTAACCACTACACCACCAGTGCTCCAGAGCTAATATTAGATAAAAAAATATAATCCTCATACTTCAGATTTTTCTAAAATAAATATATTTGTCCAGTCTTGGAAAGTATTTATAGAACACATTGTTGGAAGAACCAGATGACGATTCCAGTGTTTCCTCACAAGAGTATATTCTGAACAAATAGCTGCAAAAGCAAAAAAAAAACAAAGCTTCATGTAGGTAAATGTAAAATAGTGCATTTTGAAAGAGAAGCTAGCCAGCCCTACATTACTAGTTACAAAACAAAAAGAGTTTAGTATGAAGGACTACTTGTAGGACATTAGACTTCACTGAAGACTATTTTTACCCATGTGTGTTAATTTCCCTGGCTGCTATAACAAATTACCACCACAAACTTGGTGGCTTAACATAAATTTATTGCCTCAGTTCTGGAAGGCAGAAGTCTGAAGTCACCTTCACTGAGCCAAAGTCCTGGTGTCAGCAGGGCCATACTCCTCTGGAGGTTCTAGGGGAGAATCTGTTTCTTTGCCTTTTCCAGCTTCTGGTGGCTGTCCAGCATTCCTCAGTGTTCCTTGGCTTGTGGTTGCATCCCTCCCATCTCTGCCTCTGCATTTATATCTCCTTCTCTGTGTGTATCTTAAAACTCCCTCTGGGTTTCTCTTATCAGGATATGTATGATAGTATTTAGGACCCAACTGGGTAATCCAGATAAGTTCCTCTCAAGGTCCTTAATCACATTTTTACCCTATATGGTAATATTTACAGATTCTAGGGATTAGCACACGGA